AGGTGTTAGGATATCTTACCTCCACAGTATTTTTTTTCCAGAGAGTAAATCATCTCTGTACCAAGTTTGGTTGAAATTGCTCAAGGCGTTCCAGAGTTATGCTGGAACACACCCACACCCACACACAGACAGAGCCATTTATATATAGATAGATAGATTCTGCCAATTTTGGTGGAAAAGAGACTCATTCTCATAACTAAATAGTTCTGGTCGCTCATCTATCAAATTGTTGAATTCCCTCCGTGAAATTCTTCCTACGTATCGATCGATCACTACCTCAGATATTGGACAACTTTATGTTTTAACAAAGGAAACAAGTCACAACTTTGCTAGTAACTCTTAGCTCACACTTCATTGATATATAGGTAGTCCTTGGGTTACAATAGCAATTGGGACTGGAATTGCCATAATGAAACAAGACAATTGTAAAGTGCAATGTCACATGACAATGACACTTAGCAACAGCAGTTCTCATTAAGCAGGGACCTCACTTTCGATTTCTTGCAGTCTCCCCATTGATGTTGATTGTGGGAAGTTGGGCAGGGAATATCAGAAATCATGATCACGTGACCAATGGCTGGAATTCCAAGGACCAGTCTTTAGGACACCCATTCCCTGGGTGATTGAGAATCTCCATAGACATAAAGGATCTGAGAAACACATTAGAGCCATGGTGGAAGTGGCATACAGAGCCATTTCGCTCAGGATGCATAGCCTTGCTGGCTCCTATTCCGCGTTCCGGTGCACGTACGTGGACCGCCCAGATTGCCTTCAAGCGTGTGCGAGCGCCAAAACCCCAAACAGCAGCATTCCAGCACGCATGCGTGCGTCCACACCCAAACTTCCAGGTTTCTGTTGCGAGCATGCGTGATGGCCAACTGTTCGTCGGGCGCTCACCCATGCCGGAAACCGGGAGTTTGGGTGCACGTGCCAGAACGGTGCTCTTCCAGGTTTTAGGCGCTCTCACGTGCACAAAGTCCAACGAGGCCACCCGTTCCAGGCGGGATGGTTCTGCGTGCCATTTCCGGCACGCAGGTCAGCACGGGGTAATCAGCCATCCCTGCATCAGAGCAATCAACTTTCTTCATTTCCTCAGCCAGTGGAATTCTGGGAGCTGCTCTTCCCTGCCCAACCAGTCCATGCCCAGTTGAGTTAGAGTAGAAGACAGAAAGTTTGAATAAGGAGATACAGAGGATAGCTCAAGTGTTGACACAATTGTCTTGCCACTGTCAGAATTGACAGTTCTTGCCTTGGATCCAACTAGGAGGCTCTATGTTTTCCCTGGCTATTTTTGACCAGGGTTGTGAATTTAATTACTGGATTAAAATAGTGTTTGGGGATTCTGCAGTCACAAGAAGAAAGTGCATGTTTCTACATTTGGGGCAGTAATTTGACCAGTTGGACAACAAGGGTTTGCTAAAGGAGGTGGTGCTCTTTCCTGGTACAAAACTGGATCTGCTCCAACCAGGCGTGATCTGAAAAACAGATTTTCCACCATACCCAGAGAGCAAGATTTCCTTTTCTTCTCTCTATATCAACTTGCTGTAACTTCTTTCAATTGCTATAGAAGTAGAAAGTGACTCATAGCAGTAATTGAATCAAGGAGGAGTTGGACAAATTGAACCTATATTTTCTGTTTTTTTCCCCCCACTCAATTTCTTTCAGAATTATACACATCCTTTTATCTATTTCTTTCCTTTGTTCCTCCACTGTTCTGTCGCCAACCCGATTAGACACACTACCCATTAGGAGAAAATTGATCTGGTTATGTTTCCCCCCCCCCCCCTTATTTAATTCTCCCTCCAAGATAAACTCTGTAAATGTGAGTCAACTAGATTTGTCTCTGACTTTCTCTCTTTCAAGGAGAAAAGTTTTGTAGATCAAGTAGAAGAAGAGAGGGGAAAACATTCTAAATTGATTTTTATTTGAACAATCTGTGAAACAGTGTAAACCTG